TGTGGGGACCGGGCTCTTCTCCTGCCACCCCTCAGTTCTGGGCCATCACCTGGAAGGAGAAGAAAGGCAACGGTTGAGCCGAGCAGGGATACAGCCGGTGCATCAGTGCAATGATAGTGCCAGGTCTCAGCCCCCCAGCTGCCTGAGCCCTGCCGTGGCCTTACATTCCTCATCCAGGAGATGTAGGCAGAGACGCGGGTGAAGACGGTGGGTTTGTACTTGGTGTTGCAGTCGTATTTGTAGATGAAGCTGGTGACGCCGTGGACCTGGTACTGCCCGTTCACCTCGCAGTTGAGGGGACCACCCGAATCACCCTGCCGGACCAATGAACCCAGGTGAGATGGTAGGAAATGGGATGCCGGTGGGATGACGGGAGGGGGAAAAGCGGGATGCCGGGGTCATACCTTGCAGCCGGAGTGTACGCCGTCACCGCCGGCACAGACCATGGTGGTCTTGACGGAGGAGCCCCAGTAGGAACTGCTGGAGCAGATCTGGTAGTCCACCACGGGCAGGTACGCCTGCAGCAGGACGCTGGAGAGCTGCCCGTTGTCTGCACGCAACCGAGTCCCGGTTAACGCCACGCCGGCAAAGACCTGCGAGACACCGCAAACCCCCCGCCCCTTGCCAAAGCAGAGCCCACAGCAGCCACCGAGCCCCTTTTCCCGCATAAAATCCACCCCCAAACCTTGGCACGATCCCACCCGACGTTGGGCAACCCCCAGCAAAGCCCTGCGTGATGCCTCCTGGGACCTCAAAGGGCTTAAAAATATCATTCAGCCCCCCAGGTTTCCCATATTTTTGGGGTGATTTGGAGCTGGGATGACCCATCAGCACTCACTGCTGGTGCGACCCCAGCCCGTGATGTAGCAGGGGTAGTTGTTGCGCAGGATGGATCCCTCCGCGGGCAGGACCGCCAGCTGCACGTAGCTGTTCAGGGTGGCATAACTGGACAGGCGGAGCAGGGCGATGTCGTAGCTGGCGAGAGGAGGGAGAGGATGTTGCAAGGACCCCCCCACGTCAATTCCAGCGATGGTCCCCCCAAATCCCCCTCCCCACGTGCGTTACCCCCCGGCGACGTTGTTGCTATTCCAATAGGGATGGATGATGATCTTGCTCACGCTGAAGACCTGCTCGCTGCCGTCGCTCCTGTAGAGGTTGTGATCGCCGGCCACGACACGGAAGTTCCGGTTACTGTCGGGAAGGCGAAAAAACACAGGATCAGTCCATAAATCATTATTATTTTAACTGTAAGCTAGTATGGAAAGGTTCAGTGCAAGGAGAAGATGCTCCCAGAGATGGTCCATGTAAGCTCTTAATGGAGGACCAGCAAAGACCTTAAAGGACCGTTGCTCTCCAGGTTGGGGCAGCCAAAATTTCCCCTTGGAAAGGTTTTTGGTGGAAAACAGCTTTTCCATGAAAAAAAGGTGGGCTCCCCGCACCCACTCACCTATCCACGCAATGGGCTGCTGTCATCACCCAGTTTCTCTGGATGAGGGACCCTCCGCAGGTGTGATGCCAGTTGCCATTGGAGTAGAACTGGAGGGAGATCTGGAGGCGGGGAGGATGCGAAACATGGGGGGTCTCACCATATGGTCCCGGTGGGTTGAGACCCCCATGGGATTTACCGGCTGACCCCGGGAAGGACCCACCTGGGAGGGCCAGGAGTGCGCGCGTGCCTCGGTCCCACCGACTACCCGTTGCACCTCATCGAGATCCTGCTCGGAGCAGCGTCCTGTGGGAGAGAGGATTGAGGTGGAGGGGGAAGCGAATCATAACGGGGGGGGGTCGTCATCAGCTAACGAGGCTGGCGATTTCCCATGAAAGACACACCGCAGAGGGCGAGGGCGGCGAGGAGGACGAGCTGCAGCATCATCCTGGACCACGGCAGCTCTTCGGCTGTGGTGGGGGCTGCACCCCCAGTGGCTTTAAACGGGACGGAGGAGGAGGGACTGGAAGAAAACCAGGTGACATGGGCCTATGGAGCAGCCTTGGTCCCTCTTCCAAAACACACATGGCCCCGAAGGCCAGGGCCAAAAAACCCTGGGTGCACCCCAAGTCTCCCTCGGCTTTGCACAGGCAGCCCAAATCCCCGAGGAGACAATGACCTGCTTTTGCATCTTCCTCTTCTGCACACCTCAGGCAACGTTGTCACGAGTTTCTGCCGGTCTCAGTCCCTGAGGATGCCCCAGCTGTGGTCCTCGTATCACATTTATTCATGCGATGCCTCCAAGAGTTTTATCCAACACACGAACGGCACCCGCATCGCTGCCGGGATGGGGAAACTGAGGCAAATGCAGGTCAAGACCTTCACCCACTCCAGAAAAACCCCACCCCACCCAGGACAGCCAGCACCAGAGCCAGGACCGGCCATGACCTCCATGGGGCATTATTTTGAGGTTAAATGAAACACCAATGTAGTTTATAAGAAAAACCTGATTTCTGGCCAAAACAGTTTCATTTTTTACCCCTTTAAAAAGAAATTGAGGCTGTTCTGAGCGGGGTCAACCTGTGGCATTGAGGTTTTTGCTCCACTGATGGAGCAGTCGCTGGAAAACAGCAGTTGTGATAACGGTGATTATCAGTTCACCCAGCTTAAAAAAAAAAAAAAAAAAAAAAAAGGAAAGGAAAGGAAAAAAAAGCACCTGCTGCATTTCTGCTCTTATCTCTAAGGAAAACATAAGATTTTATGGTGAAAATGGTCTCCAAATAATCACTTATTTGTTTTATCAGCACAGAAGGGAACACAGCAAGGGATGGCAGTGAAGCCTCCACCTGGCACAGGACAACCCAACCCAAATTTGAACCACCCCAAATGTGATGCCTCATTGCAAAAGTGGCTTTAAACCCACTTTTGGGCTGCAAAAGGGAGTTTCCAGGGCAAGAAGAGAGGGGAAAATTAAATCAGAGGAGGGGTGGGAGCTCGGAGGAAGCTGGAGACAGGATGTCTGTAAAATAAATCATCTCTTTATTTGAGGTCATGTATCCAAAGACAGGTTTTCCCACCCCCACACCACTTCCAGGAGGGGTATCCCCCCCACCCCCCCTAAATGAAATGCCAACGAAAGTGGCAGCTACAGTAGTTGGGCTTGAAGAAAACCAGGGGAAGGAGGAGATCTCGCACCCAGGTGCTGGTGAGAGCCTCTCCGGGAGGATGCAGCGGTGCGTTCGAGCTGTGCCATCCGGAGAAAAAACTCTCCTCCAGATCAGCACCAGGATGAGCAGAATCGCACCCAGGAATCATCATCATATAATAATAATAATAATAAAATAATAAAAAAAAAAAATCTAACTTCCCCCCCCCAAATCAAGCCTGATATCTAAGGCAGACAGCCCAACTTCTCCCACCCTGGCAGCAGCGATACACAATGCTTGCAGGGCCATGGTGGGCGAGGGCCAGATCCTGGCAGCCCCCTGGCAGTACTGGGAGCTGGGGGGGATTCCATTACCCACACAGGGCCACGACAAACCACAATCCACCCTCCCACTGGATGAGCCATGGCCGGTCACCATCCTCCTCCTCGCTGGCAGGAGTTTCCCACCCTGCTTTCACGTGCAGGGCGGCGTGGCCGTGTTTTTCAATGCCCGATACGAATTTCTGAGTCTCTGGCTGGAGCCGGGGAGGGAAAGGATGAGCAGCAGCTGGGTACCAAAGAGCATCCTCAGGCATCACTACGACCGCCGCGTTTTGGGCTCTGTGGGGTACCGCTGGCCAAGCTCGGCTCCCTGGGCTTTCCCCGCTCCAAAGGCACGGGACTTAGTTCAAGGCAACCGTGAAATGCAGCATATTTAAGGCTTTCGCTTCTTAAATTAAAAAAAAAAGGGGAAGTTTTTTTTGGATTCTGGTTTCCTGAGCGCGGCTGGGGACGGCCGGGGGCTTGGGCCACTCTGCTTTCTGCCTAGGTGAAGGACCAGAGCTGGTGGGGGTCCGTCGGGTCACAGGGAACCATCGCTGGGTGCTTCCCTCGTGCCGTCAAACACGTACTGGAGGCTGGGTTTTTAATCAGCCGGTCCTGCCAAAAGATAAAGACGGCATCAGCTCAGCGATGCCGGTGGGATGAAGAAAGGATGCGACCAGGGGGAAGCGGCAGAGAAGCATCGCCATGACGGAGGAGGGGGGGGACGGGACGATGCCACCATCCCCTTGGGTGATTCCCGGGATGGAGACGCATCTTCTCACCTGCGCCAGGTCCCACTCCTCGTTAGCCGGCACCCGCCCGGGTTTCCCTCGGTACTGGCAGTCACCCAGCTCGGCCGATCCTGATCCCGCTCGCAGGCAGAGCTCCTTCCCGATATTGTGCCGCAGCTCCTGCTGGCTCGTGTACTCAAAATACTGGGTGGGGGGGCAAGAGCAGAGAGGAGACATGATGCTACTGCACCCCGAGAAAGTAACCCCCAGGGGAAAGCGCGGGGGGGGGGGGGGGTTGATGGGTGCCCACCTGGTTGCCCCCCATCCCGTGGCAGGGGTACATGATGAGCGGTTTCCCACCGTGGTTGTTCTCACCGACGTCCAGGCAGCTCTTGGTGCCCTCATTTTTTATCTGTGGTGGAGGGGGGGGGAAAAGGGGCAGGGGGGTGAGCTGGGCTCTAACGTCCCGGGGTAGGGATCTGCCTTGGATTTGGGCTTTGTGGGGCACTTAATTATCACTGTACAAACATGAACCCGGTACTAGGTGCCATGTCTGGGTCCCTTGTCCTTTCCAGGACGTGAGGAATGCCCGCGCCAATGCCTCCATCCCGCCATGAGAGCTGCCAGGGACGAGGTTTTGGGAAACAAAGGTAAATTAAAACCGGGACGGCAGCCAGCACCCAGCCCTCGTCCTGGTTGTCGCTGCATCCGACGGCTGCTTTCACATTGCCCCGGCTGAGGAAGGTTGGACTTAGACCCCCAACAACCGGCTTGGAGGAAAGGGGCTTTTTTTGGCAGCTCCATCCTCGGGGATGGAGCCGACGCTCCGCATCCTGCCCGTCCCCAGCTCGGTTTTTCAAGTCCGCCCTGTGCATGTCAATGCTGGCACGGTGCTCACGGAAGCTTTCAGCTCTTTCACCCGATTTAACCCAACGCCACATCCCCACCGGTCCCCCACCCCGTAACTCGCCCCAAACCAACTCTGCCGGATTCCAGCTCTTTCACCATCAGTCAGAGCCTGAACCAGCCCCACCAGCCAGTGATGGACACGGCTGCACCAAAACCCTCCAGCACGCTGGTTTAGATGCAAAAACCCCAAACCCAGCCTTTTGGGGACTTCACTGCCGTAGTTATTTCTAGCCAAGGACTGAGCCCAGCAGGATGCTCCAGGCATGCCCATACTCACCGCTCCGTAAAAAGTTGGAGTCAGGTCAGGGACAAACATCTCTGGATAGATGGTCTGGAGGTACCAGGTGAAGTTCTTGCAGTGGAGCTGTTCCCTCAGCTTGCGCCGGTCTGTAATGTCACCATACGTCTTCTATCGACAAAGTCACGTGAGAAAATTAAACTAACCTCCGAAGCCAGCAAGGAAAAAAAACAAAAAAACCCCTCCCGAGCTGGGGCTCAGAGCTGAGGGGTCCTCCCAGCTTTGTCATCATCTGCCACGGTGTGCCCAGGACCCAGACTGGTGGTGGGGTCTTGCAAGACATCCCCAGCCCCCAGCAGGTACCCTCAGGCTGGGGCCACTCACCGAGGGGGCTGGGACATTTTGGCATAACAGCACAACGTTTTGGTGTTGTAAAAAAAATTTTAACAATTGATGTTTTTCTACTAGAACGCATTATGGTCAAAAAGAAAAAAATAAAAAATAGCTTTTTGGCTATATCTTTCCGCCTGCATTTGCTTTCCCAGCTGCAGGCTGAGCCCACCTCCTCCCTCTGCTCAGGCCCGAGCTCCCAGCAGGATCAGTCCCCAACCCGGGAGAACCAGAAGCCCGCCGGCATGCCCGGTACCTCTCTGGCCATCTGGGCAGCTTGCTGGTTCCTCCTGTAGAAGATCTCCTTGTAGTCATCCATCCAGACCTCAGCCAGGCGGACCAGGTTCCTGGAGATGACCTGGGTGCCCTTGGGGAAGGTGTGGGGGCTCTTGGAACGGAAAACGTGACCCACGACGGAGCAAGGGATGATCTCGACTTGACCCCCACACTGCCAGACCTACAGGGAGGCAACGCCTGAGACGTGTGGGGGGTCCAACCCCCCCCCGCCGTGCCCCCCAACGAGAAGCATCCCTGAAGATACCCTTTGAAGATGGCACCGACCCATCCTTACCCTGAAGGACATTTCCACGTTCTCGCCCCCCCAGATCTCCATCTGGTCGTCGTAGGAGCCGATGTGCTCGAAGTAGGACCTGGAGATGGCAAAGAGGCCACCGGCAAAGGTTGGGGACCTAAGGGGAGGGAGAAGGGGGGGCAAAATAGGGTTAAAATAAAAACAGAAAAGCAGAAGTCTGAGTTTTGGGGACATCAGGGCCCTCACGGCGACTGTGAGCACTTTGCAGCTGTGTCCCCCCCATCTCCCTACCCCATCCAGCTGTGCCCCAGATGTGGTGGCTTTGGTGGAGGGGCTGGACCCAGCTGCCAGGAGGGGACGGAAGTGGCGGTGGCAGCGTGACACCGAGGGGCCTCGCCGCCAGCTCTCAACTCAAAGCAAAAGGGGGATATTGTTACCGAAAACCTGTCGCCGAAAAGAAGGGGGGAGATTAGAGCGCAGCGGCCGGCGCCCCATTCACTCCTCCGGCTTCTCTAATCTTTTCCATCTGATCTTTAGAAGAGGCTGGAACAGAAACTTGCTTTTATTCAGGAAAAATAAAAAAAAAAATAAAAAAAGGATTCGCTGAGCTGCTGCTTTCCTGCCGAGCGGAGATGAGACAACGCCGGGAGCCAAACCGCCGGGTCACGGTAAAAGGGACCTTTATTGGGACAGGGACATCTCCTGGGTGACCTCTGCACAAAGCCAGCCCTGCCGCCAGCCAGGGGACGGGACGTGGATGGGGCCAGGCAGGGTGTCTGGTATCTCCCGGTGGGAGCACCCAGCTTATCGTGGGGCACCAACAGAGAGGTGCAGTGGGAAAAACCATTCAGTGTTTCTCAGCATGCTAAATAAGGGGATAAAAATTGGGGTTTTGGTGCAGTCCTGCTGTTGTGCCAGCACAGGTGCCCACCCTGTGCCCAGGTAGCTGGGTATCCAAGAGCAAGAAGGTACAAGACAGTGATTAAACCCTTAATGAGAGACTTTGCAGGAGCAGAGAGATGGCTGGAGGCATTTCAAAGGTGTTTTTGCAAAGGGTCCTTTATGGCTCCACATTCACCAAATCCCAAGGGAGATTTCTCCTTTGCCAGCCCCACGGCTCTGATCATGTCTGAGCATCCTCTCCCAGGCACAAACCACTTGAGATCCCTCAAGACAAGCATCCCATGGGGGAAACTCTGCTGGGAAGGGACAGCATCACCTACTTGGAGGGATCAAAACCGACAGGGAAAATGCCAATTTGTTGGAAAAAGGAGCAAAAACAACTGGAGGAAGGGGCAATTTCCTCGCACAGGGCACCCAGCTCTTTGCCACCCCTGTCTGTCCCTCCCTAAGCACCCTGTAGCAGCTGCGCACATTCAACCGGTTCTTTTTGCAGCCTTTGGGTCCGGACACGGTGTTCCCAAGGCTCATCCAACCTTTGCTACCACCACACCTGCTCCGGAGTGGATAAAAATCCCCCCCGTGATGACTTACTTGATGGGGAAGGTCTCATCCTTCCTCCGCTGCCTCTCCCGGGGTGGGACGACCTCCCAGCCAAAAGTCAGGCTCCAGTCGAAGTTGCCCCGGCTGTGCTGTTTGCCGTTCTGAACGGGCTTGGAGAACTCGAAAGTGTTGAGATCGATGGTGGCGATGTCGGGGCTTACGACCGCTGTGGGCTCTTCGGCGATGCGGGATAAGAGGGGCTCCAGCCAGCCGTGGAAACATTCACCTGGGACACAGGGAAGGGTTGGCCACTGAGTGGAGATAACTTCACCCCCCCTCGCCCCAGCAACCTGGAGACCCCCAGGAGGTGGTGGGTACTCACAGTGGGCATCCAGGAAGGTCAGGACCTCCCCGCTGGCCACGCTGGCCCCCAGCAGCCGTGCCGTGATCAGCCCTTTACGCTCCTCTTGCCGCACGACTCGCACGATCTGGAGCTGCTCCACGTAGCGATCCAGCTCATCCTTCAGGTACTCTGAGGTGGGGCAAAAAGAGCCATCAGATCTGTCGGAGCGGGGGAGATGCCAGTCCCTGCATCCCACCAGCCCACCCTGCTGCCCCATCCCATCCCATGCCATGCCATGCCATGCCATCCCATCCTCTCGCAGGAGCTGCTGCTCAGACCCTGCACCAGCATTCAGATCTGGGGACACACAGAATCTCCTTTCCTCCAAATCCCAGAGTGTTTTTGGCTAAAGAAAGGGAGTTTTGCAAAGGAGCCGGCCACCCGCCTCGTCTAATCCCCCACTAGAGAGGGATTAGGGAAACGATGGGGTGAGAAGGTCTCATGCCCTGCGGTTGAAATGTCACTGGGACGGAGCGGACGAGCTGTCATCGAGGGAAGGGACAGCGGACAAGGTGTCACCAAAGGAAACTGGGATTTCTCTCCCTCTTTGGCAGATGCAGCCAAGTCAAAACCCGAGCAAGAGCTGGGATGTCCTGAGACCCATCCTGGGAAGGGATGCCAAATCCAACCCTGTCCCCGCTGCAGTGGGAGCCAAGCTCACGGGCAATAAAACCCTGCACCACCCTGAGGTTTCTGCTCCTTGGGAGCCCATGCAGACGCCGGAGGCGGAAAGGAAGCATTTATCTCTGGGGCGAGCGCAAAGTCCGCTCCTCCCCAGTGCCCCAGCACTGAACCACATCGTTAATTTATTCTGGGTGTAGCTAATGAGGTTTGCAGCCTGGCGGGCGAGCCGGCTGACAGATGAGGTGTTTGCAGGACGTGGGAGGAACGCCCAGTTTTTCTCCAGGGCTGGGTTAACAGCAATGCCTGAGAAGGGAAAAAAAATCCCTGTGGGTGCTCCTGGGTGGATGGGAAACAAAGTGGAAGAGCTGTCGGATGCATCCCAGGCTGCTTGGAGACTTGGCATGAGCCGCTTCTCCTTCGAGTGGCTCACAGCCGCTGCTCCCAGGGATGGAGAGATGCTTGGCATCCCCCTGCATCCCACCGCGGCTCCCACTCACCATCCGTGCTGGCATCATCCACCAAGATGATTTCCTTCAGGAGGAGGGCCGGCGAGGCGTGCAGGACGCTGTACACCGTCCGCAGCAGCGTCGACCAAGCTTCGTTATGGAAGACGATGACGACGCTGGTGGTGGGCAAGGGGGGGCACCGCTTGAATTTCTGGTCGATGCACCTCCGAGAGAGAAAAGCAGCGGTCTAAGAAAGATGGGGTGGGGGGGCAAGACAGAAACAAAACACCCCTTGTCCCCCCCCGCCGAAACTCCACAGCAGGAGAGCAGCTCCTGGCCCCGGTGGCTCTCAGCTCATCGCCGCTTGGATTTCAATTGATTTCTACCTCTCCCCCCATCGCCGGTCGAGTGAATCACATTCCTGCTGCCTGCCGGGCCCCGGTGTCCCCCCCATTGTCACTGCTACACCTGCTAAGCACGGATAATCGCCTGCTGGTATGGGGGGGGGGGGCAGTTTCCACACCAGGGCTGGGTTTCTACCTCCTATTCAAGCCTTTTTTCCACCCCAAAATCCCCCCCCCCAAGCCTTCCCCAGCCCAGCCCCTTGAGCAGGCAGGGGTTGGGGGGGGGGCTATGCTTTAATCCGGCAGCCCATGGCCAGAGGGCAAGCGAGGAAATCTCTTGAGTTTATGCCTCTTCCTTCGCCTCCCCCTCCCAACCCAGCGGGGTCTGAGGCTGTTCCACTCGGCTAAGAAAAGAAAAAGTCCGATTACTGGAGCCGGCTGAAATGAAAGAGGGAGGGGAGGGAAAGGGGGGGAGATGCTGAAGCCACCCGGCCGCGAGCAGGTACATGGACACACAAAGAGCCTCCGCTGGCTTTTGCCCATTGCCGTTAAAAACCAACCCCAAGGGGACAAAAATTAGAGGGAAAAAAAAAATTTAAAAAAATGTATTTTTTCAGCCCTCCCTCCGTTCGATCCCGTTGGTGACAGCCCGTCCCCAGTCTGCTTTTATTTCCCCTTAAACTTGCCCACCCCGACCCCCCGGGAGCAAACGGACCCACGGGGCTCTTTGGGTGACGGCTCTTACTCCGGCGGGCGGCTGTCAGGTCCCAGCGCTCGCTGGAGGGAGATGCGGTCGCTGGCGAAGGCGTTGAAGCAATGCTTCTCGTAACCTTGCTCCTTCTCCTTCGTCTCCTCCGGCGTCCATTGATCCTTCTTGAAGGCTTTGCCGTCGGCTCCGGGGCTGGCGGGGTCTTGGGGGGGTCTCTCCATCAGCGGCCGAAGCTCCGCCGCTGTGTAGACGCCGGGCAGGCAGGAGCGAGCGCCAGGCAGTGGTTCCTCTTGCCGAACCGGAGCTCCGATCTGCAGCTTCGGCATCGAGTCTCGGATGTTGTTGACCGCCCCCAGCATCAGGTCGAGGACTTGGTCCTTCCCCTGGACGATGTTCTTCAACCAGGGTTCCTCGCTCGGGTCCTTGTTCCCCACATCCTTCTGCAGGATGAAGAGGAAGATGACGAAGACGGCGCCTGCCAAAGCCACCTTCAAGGGGCTGTAGCGTCTCCGAAAGAGCCTCATTTTGTTTTTTTCCCCTCCGCCCCGTGCGGTTTCTGGAGGGTCCTCCCTGCGGTGATGGGTGTTTCAGGGACGCGGGGTCTCAGGGTGCTTCATGATCTGCTCTGCTCCGGTAACCTGGGGAGGAGGAGAAGCAGCCGCAGGTTAACTCACAGACTGGATGTACTTCGGCTGCAACCCCTTGATATTAATATGTATTCATCTATAATTAATATTCCATTAATAACATTCACTCCCTGCAAGGGGGCAAGGGAGACCTGTAAAATCCCCCCATGGCTCTTCCAGGCGTAAATCTGTGCTAAAAAGAAAACACCAGGAAAAAGTGAGGTTTGAAAAATGCTGCGAGGTGTGCTGGATCCGGCCACCACGAGTGCGGGACTTTCCCAGCAGTTTCTCTCGTGACCGAGCCAGCAGCTGCAGCATCCCCCCCGCATCCTCCCCGTGCACGCCAGGAGCAGCGTAACAAAGCTAAAATAAAGCCTCAAAATTTGCCGAAATATTTTTGGTCGCGTAGAAAGAACTTTTCCCCAGGGTATTTTTCCTGCCTGCAGCATCGCTGGGAAGGAAAACATGTGCAAGACCCCGCGGCGCTTCAGTTTCGGCTAAATTGGAGCAGCAGATTTGGTGTCCGGTGCCCTGTCCGGCGCAGCGGCCACCGAGAACTCAGCACCGGCTGCAAACCCTCTGCCGGGACCCGGCAAAAACTGAACTTTCCCACCGCGAGCAAACCTCCCGCGGCTGCTCTTTGTGAGCCGCTGCCGCCGGAGCATGGACAAGCTCTGCGGGAGCCATTCACCGGCATCTCCTCCTCCTCCTCTTCGGAGTCCCCCTCCCTCTTTTATTTCTTTTTTTTCCTTTTCTTTTTATTGCCTTGGAAATGGTGCAGCCCTGGAGCTGAGAAGGGCACCTGCCAGCAACTTCAAGGGCGAGGAAGCTTCGGCTTGTAAAGGAGGAGGGACGAGGCGGTCCCCGGGGTCACCGCTTTCAGCGCCGTGGGGATCAAAGCCGGCGGCCGGACCACGCTTCACTGCCAAGGCCACCCGTTCCCGAGTCACGGCGGGACCGGGCGGCACTGGTTCCACAGGGGGGGTGGTAAAAAAAAAAGCAGAATTAAGGAAAAAAAATAAATCCACCTCAATTTCTGCTTGTGTCTGAGCAAAGATGCTCCCACCCCGCTTGTGTCCCTGAACCCCGACGCTTTCGTTGCACAGCGCGAGCCGCTGCCATGCAAGGAGGCAAGTGGCGAAGAGCAACTCACTTTGGGGAGCAAAACCCTGTTTTCACTATCTCCGCATCTGTCCGAGAGTCTCCTTCCTGCCACGTTGCTGCGACCACATTAACGAAGCGCGCTCATTAGCCGTGCGATGCTAATAAACCCCGGGGCGACACTTGGGCACAGATTTGTGCACAACAGCAGCACTGCAGCTCTCGAGGGAACTCCAACCCCAACTCCCTTTCCCAATCCCTTCCCCAAAAGGGACCAAAAAGCAAAGTAACCCCCCGCCCCAAATCCTCCCCAAAAAGCGCTGGCATGGCTTTTGCAACGAGCTGCGGCCCAAGCTGCTGGCATGCTTGCACTCGCCACTACCAGCCCTGCAAAGCCACAGGTTGACACTGCCCCATCCCATCCAGCCCATCCCGAAAAATCTCCTGGCAGGATGGGGCTCGCCCCACACCCAGGAAAACTAATGCCAAAATTATCCGGTGGATCCCATTGGGTTCCTAAGAAAGGGAAAAGGGGCTTGGTGGAAATTTGGTGGTAGCCGGAGCATCCTCCGTGGTGTGGGAAGGAGGAATTGTGGGGAGAGGTGGAAATCGAGAGGCACTGCCCCAGCAGAGGAGGAAAAAGGGGGAAATAAATAAAATAAAAGCAAATCAACACTGACACCGTGAGCAAACAGGGCGGCCGTGGTCGACGTGGCCACACGCTCCACGTGGCAGCGAGCCGGCAGCCACGATTACGACCTCGGAAGCGGTGAGGATTGCAAAAAAAGCCAACAGCGGGAAACGGGGTGCAATCCGGCAGCACCCTGCTACCCTGCTGCCGGTTGGGCCGGGGGAAAAGCCCGGTTCCTTACCGGTTCTGCCAGCGGGGTTTGGGTCCTCTCACCCGAGCATCGTGGTACGGCTCCGGTTTTAGGAACCGGTGATTCTGGGGGGGTTCGAAGGGAAGGTGGGGGGTCCCACCGGGGTCTCACCCCCTAGCCACTGGCCTCGCCCTGGCTGGGATGAGCCCTTGGGGTCCCGGTTGTGGTGGGCTGGGACCCCCCGGAGACGGGCTGGGTGGCGGGGGGGGATGCCCCGTGGGGGTGAAAGGGGCCGGATCCTGCCCACCGCGGTACAGGGAGCCACACAGCCCCAGGGGGGCTCCATCCCGGGACCCCAGGCCCTTCCCCCGAGGCTCGGGACTCCGCACCGGGACCCCCCCCCCCCCCCCCCCCTTCCCCCCGGGGCC